TATAGTAATATGGAATGCATCGCAGCATTGTAAACTCGACCCTTGACAGAGAAGCCTAAGCCACAGGTGACACAGGTTCACAAAAGCTACTTTGGCCTTCCCAATCCGGATGGAAATATCATCTTTTGTGAGACCATCGGGACTAATACAGCTACCCAGGTAAACAAATTTGTCTACTACCTCAATCGGTTCACCTGTAAGCATGAGCCTAGGGCTAGCCACAAAAGAATGAGGGACAGTCGCATCAAGCTTTGGTCCGTTTTTTATCCCAAATGCTCCAGTCGTGAAACGGTAAACCAGATGACTATGATAGATCACATATTGTTGCTAAATTATTTGAGACACACAGGCAGGCGGAACATACCGTGAATACTGCTCCGTGTACTCCGCGTTCCGAACGTCACGTGATCCAAGATCTGCTCTGGAATGAGGTGAGTAGGCCAATAGTCCGACTGAAAAGGGTGGTGTTTATATCCAAATGTCAAATTCCGGATTAGTAGTGGAACTGACTGATGGTGCCTTTAATCGCTAAAACACTCACTATAAGGCCAGTTGGGTGAAAAAACTATATGGTTCTTAACCGGTTTACAGACATTCGGTCAGTCAAATGTTCCAGACATTTCAGACATTTCTCGACATTTCAGCCGGGCAACCAGACATGCCAATGAACAAATATCTCTGGATTTATTCTGCCAGGAAAAGTTGAACCGATTCAGTGTCCGATTCTCAACTGCCTGAATCTTCTTGTCCAAATTGCCAAACTTCAATATAGACCTGTTAGTTGTGAAAATTCTGGTCGTTTCGTCTCACATAATTCCCTAATCTTGAGGACCCCAATATTTTTCTTTTGCAGTCTAATTTTGGGTTTCTATTTCCGTGAATATTTTGCGTGATTTTGAGAATGATACTTTGATCCTAAAGACACGCATGTTTTGTCCAGTAGGGCAAATAGCAATTTCCTGTGGGTTAGTATCAGGAATGTCAGATTCCTGAACGCCCGGAACCTACTGAGACCTTAAAACTCCACCAAAATCTCAATAGAAAAGCCGGCAAGCATCCTGGCCAGTCAACCATTCAGTCAATTCAGCAAAAGCCGATGGGTCCTCATACACGCCACAGAAGTACGACCGAATGTGATCATCGTTCAGGCATTTCATAGAGACACGATCGATGTTGACGGGTGTTCACTAACGCCTATCACGCCTATCACCTGGATCAATGTCAGAGAGCCCCCTATAAATATCGCGCGTCCGTTGTGACTTTTACACTCGCACGCACTTGCTGTTGTGTTTCTTGTCGGTGAATTCTTTTCTGGTACCAGGCACTAGAGAGGGAACAGCAGTTAGATATAACACTTGGTGCCTCCAGAAATTACTAAACTAAACTAACTGAATAAAAATTCTTGCTTTTTCTACCGTGGGACCCGCAGATGCTTAAAAGGCCTGTAAAACTCTTCCTCTCGCGACTTAGTACAGCATGGTGAAACTGCAAAATTTCGTTGCCTTCTAATGTTTCTAAAAATAATCTGAGGTTTTAGACGTAATACACTACTCATAAGGTTGGCAAAACTTCCTCGACCGCTTTCGCCTTAATAGGGGCTCATCAAGTGGGCGCAGCCCCCGAGTTTCCACCAACCTTATGTTCTACTTGAACCAAAATTGCAAACAAATTTGGTTTTGCGAGATACCTACCCGGGGTCCAGCTGAATCTCTCGTTTATGATGTTCCTAAGCAATTGAATGTGCTGCACGAGGATGCCTCATATTTCACCTGGTACGACATTCGAGATATCACGATACATGTATAGACGCCAAACGCTACTCATAAGGTTGCTGAAAATTCTTCGACAACCCTGGTTATTCGATTGTAACCAGAAAACCGCGCTAATCAACGGAGACCCAATCGATAGGTGTTGTTTGCTGATTGAACTTGTGCTGCACTCTCACTAACTTGGAACTCAGCTACTTAAAACCGCAACCGGGAACCGTGGAAAGCCTCATCAGTCCAGGCAGGCTAAATGAATAACGGTCAGTGCTGAAGCAGAAGCAGTAGCCCTGGTGACATGAACCGTTTGAAGTGACAGTCAAAAAACAATGGGAATCAAAGCTGTCAGACATTCCATTGTGTTGTTTTGTTCTGGGAATTCAGTTAGTCATTTGAAAAGTGTGAAAAAATCTATTATCTTCGGTACCAGGCGGTCCAGGAAGACTGGACGGAGATTGATTATCCCCTCAGGGAGTGACGTGGTAGGCACTCTTGTCAAATACCCAGGGATTTTGAATGGCAACTACTCGTCTTTTTAGCAAGTTGACACCTTAAACCCGGAACAGATTATGCATCGGAAAGTTTTGCAGCAACAACTGGTTGATAGTTCGGTTGCGATCGGTCCACTCGCCATGCTTGATAAGTGACTTGTAAGCATTTCACATTAATACAAGGGACTGTTAAAACTCAATAGTTTCGTTTACTAAATCTAGACTTTTCGGATAGGAACACAGGACTTTGTCCCTGATTAAGTACCGTGGTCACAACAATCCGTCTTGGCTTCTCGGTTTTCACTAGTGGATTTAACTGTTTAGTCTATTGATTGAACGTGTTGCCGAAGAGGTTCTAGACAATATGTTCAGAAGCGATCCTGTCACACCGTTCATCATTAGTCTAAACATCTTTTCATCTTTTCGTTTGACCAGGTTCCCAATTTTGGTTTACCCATCTACATCGATAGGTAGCGTTGCGCATCAAAAAAGCACTTATGCGTGTGTTCACGGAAGAAATATAGCGGATATCGTGTGGGGATTTATCGGCAGGGGGAAGTTTTACATCATGGGGATTTGATGCGAATAAGGGATGCTTAAACCCATGTGGACTCAAAGGGAGTACTTGTCTGACAGCCTAGCCACTACATATCGCCTTATGGGTGGTTCGACGGTTGCTCAGCGGTCACTTTTCATGAACGTATTTTCGCCAGTTCATCCACAATCCCGCCAGTAACAGTTGCGCAGTTCAGCAAGACCCTCTGATGTAGACGGCCAGTGTAGACAAAAGATCGAATGGTATTACACAAGTAATCAACTCCAAAGTCGATCCGTTTGTGGATGGATGTGTGTAGCTTGTGCTCGACTGCGCTCACTTCAGGTTACAGTCAGTGCGTCCAGAAAGTGAAACTGAACGCGTAAGTTTCGTTACTATATCATGCATAACTGCATTGTACGTGGGACTTACAGCATATTTGCTGGACTAGGGTTTCCCCTCATTCCGGTCACCCTAAACTGCCACGTACAGGTTGGTGTCAGTTTGATCTTTTATGCCCTACTGCTCTTCAGTACATAGGTGAATCTGCATGAAAAGGCAAACAATATAGCTAGACAACCTTTGAGACCAAACACGCACAAATGCGTATACAATAACCCTATATATTAGAATAAGCTACTGAACTCTACTCAAGAGAACCAGTTATGTTTGGACTACTTACGGGATAGCTAAGTGTCGGTGGTTTCCAAAACCCAGGAACAGTTCGGAATTAGTTCATTCGGAAGAATAGCCTCCTACGGACGCAGGTTTCATTCAGCAAATTATTGCGTCGCGCAAGGCACCAAATTTTCAACCCGTTTCAAAACTGTAAATGTTTTCAGCCTACCTTCTACAAAGGCGATTCCATAAAGTAAATGCTATAATCGGGGAAGATACTGAAGCCTTTTTCCATCGCGTCGCACTCCAAGGAAACACAACTTCCGAAAAAATAGTCTCCCAAACGTTTAAAAGACCTTGGTGTATTCTAATAAGAAACGCCATACCCTATAAAGTTGACTAAGTCTTAAGTATTGCTCATACATTGTCTCGTTATATCAGTAGGCCACTTTTTGGCTCATCTTCAATTGGATTCCCGATTTTAGGCGGCTTCAGATGCCCGCGCAACCGCTAAAAACAGTTGAAAATGAAGCAACACAGGCCATTACTTATGGTGTTCACCACATCCCTAAACTTCTCTTTTTCGAATGGGGCTTGTTGGTTTTCGGTCAACTGACACGCTGCAACGATCAAGACATGTAGCGATATTATGCCTCGATCATGTCGATCAAAGGGCATTGCATATCGGGTTCTAAATAAGTCTTTGAAGTTAATTAGATGTCAGCGAATATACACTCATCTGCAAACTAATTTGGCTCTTTCGAGAAACTCACCTAGAACGCAGACGAATCTCTCGTTTGTGATGTTCCCAGGCAACTGAATGTGCTGCCCGAGGCCGCCTCATGTTTCAGTCGCTACGATATTTGAAATATCGCGATAGATGTATATATTTGTAATGTACTACTCATAAGGTTGCTAATTTCGTGCAATTTGGTTTCAAGTGGAACATAAGGTAGACGGAAACCCGGGGACTGCGCCTACCTGATGAGTCCCAAGAAGGGCGAAACCGGTCGTGGGCTGTCGATGGATTTTCAGCAACCTTATGAGTGGTACATTAGTGGTACATTAGTTAGATGTCCTTTCTTTTAGGACTGACACCTACGTGCACCGAGTGCCAAAATAGCCCCGAATAACAAGGCTGAGAATACAATACGATTTGTCTTGACTGTTATCGCTTTCAATGCGGCGTCCAAGCGTTACAGGTGAAGTTTTGTTCGGGGTTCGAATCCCGGCACGGCCATTGGATATGCACGGCGCTCAGTATTCGCACAACGGAATTGAATTTTCAAAAAGTTATGACATGTCCCTGATGGACTAAATCAATCGGGCAATCGAGTTGAGGGTACCAGTCCAAACTTTTGAGCCCCATTTAGGCATCCCGGGGTCTCAGCGATTTTGAGGAACTATCCCATATGACTTTTCAGCCAGAGGAATGGCTGCTTCAGTGAGCAATGAAATTCGGTGAGCTGCAAAAATATGAATGTAGATTAGGAAGGCTTTTGGTCTGAGCACATACGCAACAAAATGCAACATTTTGGCGTAAAAAGTTTTATTATACTTGTAAAGTTTTTGCAGGTGAGAACATTGTGCCGATAATGGGCGCCGGTATGCACTGCTGATGAGCTCTAATGAGAGCGAAACTCGAGTCCAGTGCTCCCTTTTGGTATGGACTCACCGGAATAATTATGCCAGAACAGGAGGACAACCGTTCAACTGAGAGTGGTGTGACTATGAACAAAGAATCTATCCCGCAAAACCCCAAAATTGCAACCAAAAAGTTGCCCAGTAGGTTTGAAGCACGTCATGCTACCTGACTGGGAAGTCCTGACTGACGGGTCAATCGATCGTCACAACCAGGACAGTTACTGGGTGGTCGTTCGATGAGTCGGACACACCAATCACAGCGCTCAAGTATGAACACGTTCGCCTGTTCAGACGTGATAATTCAGATTCGTCCAACGTGCGTTGGTGGACTAATGGTTGCACGCTCGCCTCGCGTGTCAGATGGCCGGGGCTCGAATCCCGGCACGGCCGTTGGATATGCACAACTGGTGAGCTCTAATAAGAGCGAAACGCGAGTCCAGTGCTTCCCTTTGGTGTGGACTCACCGGAATAATTATGCCAGAACAGGAACACGGCCGTTCAAACGAGAGTGGCGTGACTATGAACAAAAAACCTATCCCGCAAAGAAAAATTGCCACAGAGTTTGAAATTGAATACCAAACTCCTGCAAGTGGACAGCGCTTGCCTATTCATACTTCATTTCTGGGCTAAACCTTTAACGATCCTGGGGCGTTGTCTGGCTTCCCCCACGAACCACTTCCTTGAAGCACTATCGGAGTCACTTAATACCTGCTGCACTATGGAGACATCGGCGCTCGACAACTGGTATACATTCCAAGTCTCTCCCATAAATCATGACTAATCCCATAATTGCTTGCTGTCTAACTTACAAGCGTTTCATTTTTTCACGTGAAGCTTGACGCAGTCTGCTCTGTGGTGTACACTAGTTTCATCCGTTACAGCATGCGTACAGCAGCAGTCCAAGGGCAAACTAAACCTCAGCGCGCTGAGATTTCAAGAGGATGGGAAATCCGAAATTAAGAGTTTGCACTTTGAAGGCCTAGAATTTAGACTCAACCAATGGACAGATATACACCACGTTCCTTTTAAGCTGGAACGTGAAGGTTCGTAGTGGTTGGACCACACGCAAAATCCAAGCCTACCAGATTTTTCTGCCTTCTGCAGAACTGAGTTCAAAACCTAGCTTCTTAATAACGTCAACGACAAAATTTGATGCAAAGAACACTGCCAAACCCCACTTCCATAGGTAAACTTCGGGCTTGTTCGTCATAAACCTCAACAAAACCTAAGGTATGGAAAATATCTACGGGCTTCGAAAATGTAGCAGAACCGATTTGTCTACAAACTGAAAAAAACATGCTCATAGCCGGAAAAACCTTGACTCGTAATCCACTGACGGTTTCGAACCAGTGACTTGGTGTGAAGCGCGTTGTATATTTGGTCCGAATCCCCTCGGACTCGTGCCTCTCAGTATTACTGAAATTGAACTGATTTGCCGGCGATTCGAACGGTCACGGATGGTTACTTCCCGAATAAGTAGACAGTAATGACCGTCCCTGGTTGCGTAGAACAAGTCCTTTCCCCCAGAGTAGTTTGAACAGCCCAGTTGAAACAGCACTCGTGAATCCATAATCGACCTTGAATAACGCTACCGGAAGTCCGATGGCACTTTGAAGGTGGGTTAGTATTTCAAGAACCGAGGGGCTATTTACTCCGAGGCTATGAGTAAAGTTCAACTGGTCGAATGAAATACACGGGCATCGAGGCAGACAGTCAACTAACTGTTGCTGGAAGTAGTTCGCTCAGTGGCGACGATGGTGCGATTCACGATAAGCTGGACTAACTCTTGGCGACTGTCGCATCTACTGTTAATCTCAAGATTTGCTTTGTGTAGAATGGTTTCGAAGTACTCCTGCCAAGCGCTCCACCTGGACCGGTGGAGCCACTAGGACGGTCCACAGATAGCCAAGAAGGCTGAGCTGCAACAACTAACCGAAAGAAAAGGATTTTATGCAAAACAGAATCAGGAATCAGAGATACGCAAATGAAAGTATATCAACAAAGACTGCATCTCGTAAGTGAAGCCCCTCTCTGTGGAAAGCCAGGAAGTACAACTGCTTCGTCATCAGCAGTGCACATCTCACAAGCCTTCAAGGAGATTCCAACTCATTATTGGTTTAAAGCCCAAACCTCTCATCCAGCTGATCAAAGACTTCATCCGAGAAGTCGTTACCCAAACAAACGAATTACGTGAATTACGTGAGTGGAAGGCGCTTACCGTTATATTCTACCGAAGTACGAGCTAATCACACTGCCGATCAACCAATCGTGGTCAAATGGCTAACCGTTTAAACTACTGTCTGGGATTTCCCGACTTCAAAGCTCCCTGGAGAGTCGCGAGATTCGCACTGTCCAAAACACCACACTGCTACGGCTGATTAGTAAATATCCGTGCCTGCAAAACCAAATGTGCACAATATCCAATAAAGGATTTGAGTCAACGGCGTAAAGCCGTTGATGTTCCTACTTGGAAGCAAATGATCCATTACGGAAACCAAAAAGCGTTTTCTCTGTCTTCTGTTCTGGGAGACCCGCTTGAAGAGACATTGTGACTCCGTTCCCACAGTTGCTTCTCCTCGATGGAGGGTCTTCCTGTCGAGAGGTTCCTCGGGGAGGGTAGTGTGTTACACAACTAAGCACACCGCAGTTTACCCGTCGACCCTCCGTCCATTCTCGATTTTCCCGTTTGTCAAAGTGCGACAGATACCCTTATCGAGTTGTATTTTTTGAAGCACAACAACTTCGAATCACGGAGAAGAAGTCAATCAGAGGCTACTAAGTTCGGTTACCTTGGATCTCCCGTTCGAGATTCCAAACTAATTATGAAGCTTAGTCTCATTTACTTTCAACATGGTCGGTCAATTGGAAATTATCAAACTTTTGAAATCTTAACTAAATGGCTCGAAATATTTCCACGCGCGAAGTGTCAGCCACTCCCATCAACATTGCGCTGAGGCAGCTGAACAGACTTAATCGATATTTCTCTCACATACTTGTTGCGTTGTTGCTCAATGCCTCCTTTCTTAATGGCTCTCAACATCACGTTCATGAAATTATGTTGTCTGTCTCGTCAGCCCGCGGTGGAATGAGTTTGGCTTAAATGTTGGAAAGGTCACCTTGACTCTGCACTTTAACGGCATCTTCGCAGTGAAGTGCTTGCGTTGTGCAGTCAATGACCTAAAAAGGTCACAACACCACACGAATCGATTATGTTTTGTACAGAGAACTTAAGGTTGTGCATGCGTACATGTAGTGTGTACAGTGTGTTTTGTAGATTTATGCTTCACACAGGTACTAAGAAACGATTGCTCCCTGGTCAACCTAGTGTGGAATTCGTAAAATGCCATCCAGATCGAATACCCAGTAGACAGGATTCGTTGACGAATTTCTGAGTGATGGAAACTGATAGGAAGTCGTTCACTGAACCAAATTTGTCTATAAACCACGATCATGTCCAATTTTCAGAAGCAATCTCTTGGGAACAGATATCTGCTGCAGTCTTAGCGAGGGTTTTGAGACGGAAGTTTTCTCCCATCGAATAAACAAAGCACCAGTGAACGAGTTCGGACGATGCAATGCTAAGCGGTTTCCTCAGTTCCAACTGGCGATTTCTAGCTTGTTTGTTTTTCAAATGATACCATCAAACTTATCGTTAGAAGCTTCGGGGGTTGGGCCTACCGAAACATGGGGAAACCGGTCGTGGACTTCCGATTCATTTTGTAATAAACAAATACCATCATATCCAAATGGGGTACCTTTCTTAGAAAATAAGAGCGAAATCAATCATTCACGAGTTGTTATACTAGAAAACAAGGGTAAGGAAAGTGCATTGGAGGTACAAAACAGTGACCTTGGACCATGGACCTTGACCATAGTTTGATTCACTGTTTCGCTTGACGAACACAGTAGTTTGGAATCTTTTCTCACATATGATTCCTTAACAGTATGTTTTTTGTTCTGTATTCATTACGCTGACGATATTAAAGTCCACCACCATCAGGTCACCTACCTATTGCGGCGCTAGGACACACAGTTGACCTCAAGCCGAAGACAACCTGAGGCACAGCAACAATCTCTTCTCAGTGCTTAGAAGTCACAACGTGGGAATCACATCTGAATGGCCCAACATTGGTTTCCAGTGCGCAGATGTTCTTCTGATGTAAAAAAAAACCACTGTATATGATACCGCACTGGTTAGTT